AATGAGGCAACTGAGCATGCACACAAATGCAAAGCAGAAGAAACTTCCTCTTCCTTCTGGGAAAGGACTCAGATGATCAAAAGCCACAGACTCTTCGTTATGGCCCTCCTAACTCCCTTTTCTCTATAAATCAGCACCTTCACTTGCCTGCAGGGACTTGCACATGACTTGTCCTGGTCACAGCCTCTGAATTGAGAATCTCTACTAATCATAGATAAAGCCTTCTTCGGTCGAGGAATATTTGGCAGCTTATTTGTTTCAGGTCAATAATTTTATTACACTCTACAGAGTGCTATCCAGAATGACAAGTGACAACCAGACGTTGCTATAGGGCACTTGAACTGTAGCCAGTGTCAGTTGAGATGTACCATAAACATGAAATATGTATCAGATTTCAAAGACTTAGTATAAAAATTTAAAATTTTCTCTGTAAGAAGTTGATATTGATTGCATAATTAAAAACATTTTGCATATATAAAATTAAATATATTATTACATCAATTTCACTGGTTGAGTTTTACTTGTTAATGCAGACACTAGAAAATTAATATGTACATCAGTTTCATTGGTTTAGTTTTACTTCTGTGCAAGGGAGTTATTTCCTGCTGTATCAATAAACAAGGATGTCACAGCCATCCTCCAAATGTGAGTTTCTGAGCCCAGGAAGAACAATACCTGCTATCTGGCAGCCATCAGCCAACTCCCATGGTGAGCACTGGGCCCAGATTGCTGAGATGCATATGAAAGGAAAGATTTCAGTAAGCCTAGACTCTTGCATCTTCCCAAACATAGAAAAGTGCTAAGTTCCTTGAGATGTCTGGTTTTCCTTAATTAACAATAATCTCTTGATGTTCAAACTATCTGCCCCTTGTCATAAGCTTCTATATAAACTTACTGCTCTCCCTCCACCTTCTTGAAGTAGTTATCTCAGGGTTACTTGAGATGATGTTTCTCAGGCTTGAAGTCCTAAAAATTCCCACCAAGTAAAACATAACTCCCAACTTCTGAACTGTAACTTTTTTTTTTTACACTGACACTTGATAATGCTGCCACTAGAAAATCTGAAATACATATGTGATTAACATTGTATTTCCAGTGATCAAAACTAAGTCGAGCTGTCAAAAAGGAAAAAAAAAAAAAGATTGAATCCACCAAGCAAATACTCTTCCTTAAAAAGAGGAATCAAAAGCACTCAGATATACACTGAGATACACAATTTAGATAATGATACACATATAGTATTTATGACAAATATTAAAAATGACAGGAATACCTAGCAAGATGGGGGAGGAGCACGGAGATGTGGAATGCATCTCTCTCCACTGATGCATCAGGAATACATCTACAGATCCAACACTGAACACTGGCTGAAGACAAATAGGAGTCACTGACCAGAAAGAATTACATGGACCCACACATAACTGGGTAAAATGAAAGAAAGAAGGGAGAAGGAGGAGGAGAGCAAGCGGGAATGGACCTGCAGCTAGGGGTGGAGGAGCTGAAAGCAGGGGAGAAATTCCCACATTCAAAGAAATCGGATGCAACATAAGGGAAGCATTTGAGGCTGTCTGCGGTGAAGCAGGTGATCTGTAATAGCCTGAATGGAGTGAGAACCACACGGATAATCTGTGCCTCAGCCCTAGGTACCCTAGAACAGGACGAGTGTCCTACCAGTGAGCAGGGTGGCTGGGAGCTGGAGCATGGGGATCAGAGAGCAATCCAGGGTCATGGACTGCAGTTGACTGTGAGGAGATGGCCTGAGGGAAAGTGGGGTGGAATTCACAGCAAGAAATGCCTTTGGAGGAAAACTGGGTGACCACGGAGGCAGGGTACTACTGCTGAGTCACATGAAGGGGTGGAGCCACGAGTGTAGCCTCTCTCCCTGCGAATATCAGCACTGGCAGCCAGTCGAGCAATAGAGAAGGACTCCAGTGAAGGCTGCTGTCTGAACACCTGATGCACCAAGCAATAAGGAACGATCAGCCAGGGAGGCCCTTTGAACTCCTGCAGCTAGAGGCTAGAAAAGACTCCCAATAAAACCATATCTGTGCCTGTGGCCACCAGCTTTCCTACAGAAGTGGCACTGCAAGGGACTCTATGATCCAACAAGCCATATCGCCTCCATGCCCCATCCTCACTGGGGCAGTCCAAAGTTCTCAAGGCAGCCTCCGGAGCAGACTCTTGTGAATGGCACACAAGCCTAGGTAGGGATAAAATCGCAATTGAGCTCCAGGGGCAGAGAGACTAAGGAAGACGATGGAAAACTTTTGCAACAGCTACACAAAGCTTCAGAATACATCCACACGCTCAACTAGGCAGACTCTGTGTCTATGGAATATATAAAAGGACAGTGAGTGTTCCCACAGAAGAAAATGCTCTAGCTCTGGAAGCTGTCGACATGGAGGCAAGCACGCATGGCAGTAAGGCCAAATCACAGTGTGAGCTGTCCCCACAGCTGGTCCAGACAGCAGCCCTTCCCACCACTGGAGAACCTCCCAGGGAGGCCGAGGTGGGCCATGGTTCACAGCAGGGGCAAGAATGCTGACAGCTGAGAATCTATTTTTATGGTTTTTACCTTTCCTTTTAGTATTTTGTTTCTCTTCATATTTCATTGTTGTTGTGGTTGTTGTTATTATTTCTATTTAGGCACATGAGATTTTTTTTTTTATCATACTTTTAGTTTCTTTCATATATTTCTACTTTCACTTTTCCTTTTTGCTGTTTTGTGGTTTTTTTTGTTGTTGTTTTGTTTTCTTTTTGGTTCTGCTTTCTTCTTGTTTTTCTTGAATACATATGGATTTTTATTTACATACTTCTATTTAACTTTGCTTTTATATACATATTTTAACATTTTTGTTTGGTTGGTTTTTTGCCTTATTCTCCAGCTGGCACTCTGGTTTTATTTTCTATTTTGTGTTTTAGATAGTTTTGTTTTTAATTAGTTAGTTTTATTTTCAGTTTCATTGTTTCTAGGGTCACACTCCTGTGCTGTTTTCTTTGCTATATTTTGGTTCTTTTTGAGTATATGTATGTATGTATGTGTGTGCGTATTCATTTGTGTGTGTAAGTTCTGTTGTTTTTGTTTCTGTTTGTTGACATTGCTTTTACCATTTGTCTTGCTTTCATTTCCTGTTTTTTTTTTCTAGGGAGGGGTTGCTATTTAAACCTCTTTATCTGTATACAGAAAGTTATAAGATACTGATGAAAGAAATCAAACAGAACATAAACAGATGGAGAGACAGTCCATGTTCCTTAGTTGGAAAAACCAATATTGTGAAAATGACTATACAACCAAATGAAATCTCCAGATTCATTGTGATCCCTATCAAATTACTGTTGGCATTTTTCACAGAACTAGAACAAAAAAAACTCACAATTCATATGGAAACACAGAAGACCCTGAATAGCCAAAGCAATCCAGACTATAATATAAAGCTACACTCATCAAGATAGCATGGCACTGTCACAAAACGAGAAATACTGGCTAATGGGACAAGATAGAATACCCAGAGAAAACCCCATGCAACTATGGGTACCCTTTTTAATAAAGGAGCAAGAATATAAAATGGGGCAAAGATAGTCTCTTCAATAAGTGCTGCTGGGTGAACAGCTATGTGTAAAAGAATAAATTAGAACACTTCCTAATGCCATACACAAAGATAAACTCAAAATGGATTAATGGCCTAAATGCAAGACCAGAAACTATACAACTCTTAGGGGAAAACATAGGGTAAACATTTTGTGACATAAATCACAGCAAGATCCTCTATGATCCACCTCCTAAAGTAATGGAAATAAAAACAAAAATAAACAAATAGAAACTAATTAAACTTAAAAGCTTTTGCACAGCAAAGGAAATGATAAACAAGATGAAAAGACAACTCTCATAGTTTGAGAAAACAATAGGAAATGAAAAATTGACAAAGGATTAATCTCCAAACATACAAGCAGCTCATACAACTCAATGCCAGAAAAACAAACAGCCTAATCAAAATTGGTGAAAAGACCTAAACAGACATTTCTCTGAATACACACAGACAGTTAATAAACACATGAAAAGATGCTCAACATTGCTCATTATTAGAGAAATGCAAATCCAAAGTACAATGAGATATCCCCTCACACTGGTCAGAATGGCCATCATCAAAAAATTCTCAAACACTAAATGCTAGAGAGGATGTGGAGAAAAGGGAACCCTCTTGCACTGTTGGTGGGAATGCAAATTGATACAGGCACTATGAAAGACAGTATGGAGGTATGGAGTATTCCTTTTTTTTTTCCTTTCTTTTTTTTTTGAGTTTCATTTATTTTTATTAGTTGGAGGCTAATTACTCTACAATACTGTAGTGGGTTTTGTCATACATTGACATGAATCAGCCATGGATTTACATGTATTCNAATATCCAAAGGTAAAAAAGTAGTGTGTTCCTCTCTTTTACTTATTAACATGTTGCGCTATGCAGAGGGAAACCATAATTTCAGAACTCTGCTTACCTATTTTTATTGGCAATTAGCAGACATAATTCTAGAGTTCTGTTTTATTGTTTGTTTGTGAGGTATGTGCTCCTTTTTTGTGGAAGGGGAGCTCAAATGTGTTCCCATGGATGATGTGGGGCAGAAAGGTTATAGAAATCTTCAGAGAGATTATGAGATGCAGAAGTTTGAGAATCACAACTCTACAGCTATAAAACTAGATGTCTATAAATTGTACACAATGAGAAATCAAGTCCAAGTTGAAAATCTCTACTGTATTACTAGCAATTTTAGTAGTTTCTAAAATTACTTTATTTTTATTACTATTAAAAATAGAGGAAGACCTCTTTTATTTTGCAAATTGAATACACTCATTCTTAAAATCTTTAGTGAACAATTTAGTAACAGAAAAATAAGACAAAAATACGCAATTCAAAATTTAAACTGTGAAAATGTGGTCATGTTAGTATATTTGCTTCTTAAAGCATATTAACTTGTAAAAGCAAAAACAAAAAACAATGTCTTACCTTCCATCTCGATTCCAGTCATACACCTCTACTTTAACTGTTCTGTCCATGGTGAAAACATACACACAGGGTAAAGTTACTTAGTAAGATCAAATTAACATATGATTGAAAGTTAAAAAATAAGTTACAGATTTTCTTGGATAAAATATTGTATACTTTGAAGTTTTACAAAATAAAGTTGATTTTCTAATTTTAATACTAGTCTTCAATTTTTACTTTAAAATAGGTTTTTAAAATCACATAATTTTTAAATTCTTTAAACAGAGTAGGAAATTATACAAGAAAATCATTTATAGTTTGACACAGCTCTTCAATGAGGAGCATAGAGCTACTTTTCCACTCTTCAAAACCATTGTCTTTGTATTTTGACATTGAGTTTGTATTTCTCAAATTCAGCATAGATCAGAATCACATGGAAGGCTTGTAAAAATGTGAATTACTCAACCTTATGCCCAAGTGTTTTTGGTTCAGTAGTTCCGAGGTGGGCCCAAGAACTTGAATTTTTGCAAGTTTCATCAGGTGATGCTGATGCTGCTAACTATATTATGCAATATAGTTAGAACTGTATTGTACAAATCACGGTCTTAGAAAGAATGAGTCCAATTAAATAAAGTTGTGACATTATTAAATGAATAAGGCGACAGGCAAGTAGCGTAATACATTTTAAGAACATCTAATGTTATATTGGTAATGGATAGTTTTTCCTATGGTTTTAATTAATAGAATAAATTCTCATTTTTCTAGTATATGAGTAGTAAGATAAAATATGTTTTGGGGTGAGAAGGGGTTTTTATATAGTAATCTAACAATCCATCTTCATAAGAAATCTATAGAACTTTTATAATTCAGTGACCATGAGAAAGATGATGTCAAATAGGATTCTCAGGAGTAAACAGGGTTGATAACATACAAAATCATAATTTTACATCTTCTGTATATTTACTTATTCCTTTCTAGAAAAATAATACCAAATGAAAAACTTGAAGCTATAAAAATTATGGGATACTTTTGCATATGCTAAAATAAACAAATATTCAATATATTTTAGCACTTTGCACATTTTTTTTTTGAAAATTCAGTTAAATCAAATTTTAATTAGTCAAATTATTCCTCTTGCCCATATCATTGTGGGTAAAAAATGCTACTTAAAAAATTCTTAATAAGTCAACTATGCTTT